TTACAGATCTCTACGTTTCTGATTCCATTTTCTTCTTTTGGATCGTTCTATTTTTCTTGCTTACTTTTGACTTGTACTTAGTGCTAAAATGTCAGTCTTATTTGTGCTCAGCTTGAGGAAGCAAAGTACTCGATAGCTCCTCATCACTGCCCCTCCGTGCTCCAGAGGCCGGCTTCCAAAGCAGGGATGTAAGCGGGGAGGGGAGCTAAGGAAGGGCCCAGTTCAGGGAGGTAATTACATTTGCGAGAGTGATCCAGTTTCATTTGCAATCCTGAGCAAAGACTGCTTTGACTCTTTTGCAGTTGTTTGAGCAATGATTTCCCTGCACGCAGCTCAGAAACTCTGCATCAAGGCAGTATCCGAGGAACCTTCCCCTTGCACCACAGTTGTAATAGTATCACACCATTTCCAAAACACACGTGTATTTTAATAACGCTGATTCTACAAATGAACACTTACCCTAATGCTGTTTCTGCACTGTGCTTGGTCAAGGACTTCTCAGTCTTTATATTCTAAGAAGGATGCAACTATATTTACATATGCATGAAAATGCACTGAACTTAAAGAGAGCAGTCGGATGTGATACTGGTAATGGAGAATCTCCTGTCGGCAACTGTGCAGCCACCACATAAAGACCACAAGCACAGATCTTCCCCAGGAAGGAAGAAAATACTGCACCCCACTTCCAGTTAAAAACACCAGATTTGCTTAGCCATGGACTTTATGGCTCTCTGTAAACTTCACCCATAAATCCCTCACGGCAGTAAGAATCCTTCACAGACTGGATAATTTACCTGACTTCTCTTTGCACTTCTTTCCTCCTCCGCTACTGCAGCCATCTTATTTCTCCGTCTTACAAAATGTTCCAAATATAAAACGTGGACTGCATGCGCTTGTTCTCAAGCAGAGGGACTGGCGCCAGCACGGCGTCCCCCACGTCCGCGATGCGTGGCTGCGTCCCCGCGTACAGCATTAGCATGACACGAGGGCCACCGTCGCTGGCAGGACACGTGCATGTAACAGCATGACATAAAGTTTTATTTGCGTTATTATAAGGGACATAGCCTGGCTTTATGGAGCGGGCTGTGTGGCGCACAGTGGATTAGGGAAGCAGGAAAGCCACCAGGCACTCTTGGCGATGCTGCTTTGCAGGGCGCTGGGTGCAGCCTGGTACCGATATCATTGAACCATTGAATGGTTTGGTTTGGAAGGGACCTTCTGCAGATCATCTAGTTCCAACCCCCTGCCACAGGCAGGGACATCTTTCACTAGATCAGGTTGCTCCAGATCATGAGTAAAGCCCCAAGACCTTGCAGAGCAGTGCTGCTGTCAGGGGGCTCCATGTGACATGGCTGTGCCACGTGCCCAGTGTCCCCAAAAGCAGGGGGGCTGCAGCGGGTCCCCAGCCAGCAGGACGGCGCGGGCTGCGTGGCCCATTCCCTGGTGGTAAATCAGGCAAACGAGGTCTCTCCTTTAACATTGCAAAAGCGCACACTTATGTAAAAATATGATCAAAGTTTTATACATGTAGAATTTCCTAACAATAAATCACATAAATGGATATCTACACTGGGTAATAAAACTGAACAGATTCTAAACTGATCGGTAAAGTTGCTCATAAATTGTTGTTTTTAGCAAGCTGTAAACAAAAGCTGTATAAATACCAAGTGAGCCTTATAATGTAACTAGGTACACAGAGAAGTGCTCCAGCTGCTCTGTTTTCAGAGAAAATGCACTGGTTTTGGACAATGTTTGGAACTCTTTTGTTATTGCCCAGTATAAACATTAGATCTCCGGCTTGATACGCTGGCAACAAAGGGAGAGGAAGAAGCAGAAATAAATGCCGCGGACTTTGTTGTCTCTCATGGTGTTCTCCTCCTCGCAGAGGTTTACATGCCATTATGTACCTGTAGTTTGATGGGGCTGTGCGAGGCACATCTCTTCTCTGTGCTGTCTGTATTTTATTTAATTGCATTTCAACAAAACAAAGAAAGCACATATATATTCATGCAAACCATGCACTAAAGGTAATACTTACCTGACAGGGACAGAAACTATGTGGGATTCCCAGCCCAGAAATCACAGAAGAACACACTGTAAATTCTCATCTTTTTCGAATGCCCGTTTCAGAATGAAACAGAAATGATCATTTTAGCTGCCTGTCCAGAGGTGAAATACACAGCCAGCGAGCCCCGAGCATGGGACCTGCAGATTAGGTTACCAGCACAGAGGACTTCGAACCTGCCAGGGAAAAGCCCTTCCCAGAGCGGGTGCTTCAGGTGGTAAAGGCAGAGATGTCAGCTTTGATTTGAGCTAACCGAAAGGAATCTTTGGATGGAAAAGCTCCAGGACCTTTGAATTAAATGAAAGACCAGAACACTCTACAGAATGTCTGCAATAACAGTCTCTACAGAAAATTATGAGGAACTACATAAATCCACCCTCTTCCTCTTCACACAGGCTCATTAAAGCAGTACTGACTCTCTGGGCAGCTATAATTCTGCTGAGTGATACCCTGGAATCACCCTGTCAATACCCAGTGGTGTGCTGCCTCTCCAACTATCTGTGCCCCTAATATTCCTCTCTTTGATGGGATTTGCTGACCTTTAATCTGATGCTAGTTTACTCTCATCACTGAAGTGCAAGTCAGAGAGCAATAAAACGGCAACCTCACTGATTCAAAAGGGAGAGCTAAAGCGCCACTAACTGTGAATCTAACCTTTCGTAATGGCTCTCCCCTTAAAAGGGGAAACATGAAGTGCAAGGCAGCTAAAACAAACAATATTTAATGCTGACTACAAGATTTATTGCAGCCCTCTTTGCATGAGTATTAAATTGGAATTTCAGGGCTGTAAACTGAGGAAGAGAAGAGGGACAGCCAGCGCGGATGGAGCCACAGCCCCGCGCAGCACCTTCCCCATGCCACGGGCACCACCGGCGCTGCATGGAGCAGGGCATCGACAGCCGAAAGGCACGGGTAGCGGCGCGGTGGACAGCCAGCCGGAGCTGACTGAGCAAAGAGACCTGACCCCAGAAGGGCAAACGGAGCCTGAGCAGCACAGGGACGTGACGAGCGTAAGCTGCGTTCCTGATGCAAGGGAGACGCATGCGCAGGCATGCGCGAGCATCCTCTCCTGGGGAGGCCGGCACTGGAAGTGGTGCTGGACAGCCCTGGGGAGCAGCCTCAGGCCCTGCAGCCATGCGGTGCCTGGGCTGCCGAAACACAGAGCTGCCCAGCCCCTCACACCACCCCGTGCCACTGCGGGATGTGCAAAGCACCCGCAGAGACACCACGGCCCTTAACCACGAGCCGGGGCCACCAGGGAACAGGAGACCTCGTGCTGCTCGAGAGGGTACGGGGTGAGGCTGCGCACCAGGATGGGGCCCTGGGCACAGGCGACAGAGGACTGCAGCAGGGGCAAAGGAGGGATGGGGATCGGTTTGTCCTGATCGAACCCCTCTGGCTGGGTGGCCCCCAAAATGGGTCTCACTAAGAGGAGGCACTGTTTAGCACACGTCCATTGTAAGAGGGAGATCAAGCAGAAAAAAAGGTTATTCTCAAAATGCTGGTGCTCTTCCCCGAAGGAGCCACTGGGGGCTGTCGCATGGCCTCTCCCCATCTCTCCAGCCCTGAGCATGGGGGCTGCTCCAGCCCTCAGCTGAGCCAGGGTCCCCTCGTCCGGCTGCGCTCCCCACCGTCCGGCAGTGTCACCACAGATGCAATGATCGGTAAGGAGATGGAGAACGGCCTGTCTCTACACGTGGTGTACAACATCTCCACCTATTCTTTTATTTATTCCATAAACTGCAGGAAATCACAACTTGCAACGCGAGCCAAATTTTCCAATGGGTCTGTGCACTTTGCCTGTCCCAGAGGGGCTGCTCCTGCGCTGTCGGGTCAGGGTGCAGGAGCGCAGCCAGGCACCGTGGAGGCACACGGGCGAACACGACGACTGCCCTCTTGTTAGTGCCCCAAAGTGACTGTTCCCATGGCCAGCACTTAGAGAGGAGTGCGACCGGTACCTCCAATGCCACCCCAGGCTGGCAGAGTGTGTGCACAAAGCAAGCAAATAAAGGACACAAATCTCGCATGTTGTATACACACAGATCAATAGAAAACACACCAAAGTCACATCACAAAGCAAAAGAGAAATTATTGCATAACAAATTTCTCTCTGGCTCTCTGGGGAAAATAAAGACTGACAGCTTTGGGTTTAACAGGTGCTGCTAGAAGATGAGCTACTTATTAATACTGCTAGGAAGGAAAAGGATGATAAAAACTATAATGTGATTAATTATTTATGTTTACGAGCATGATTTTTAAGAGTCACAGTTTGTCATGCAAATCGCTTGGTCTGGTTCAGCTCGGCAAGTCGCACCCCAGAACATGCCTGAGGGCTCTTCACAACACGTGCAGCAATTACCACGCCACTAACAGGGCAAGCAGACCCATGGTCCAGACGACGGCGTGCCGCCCCGGCCCTACTTCCAGCCGGCTCCAGCAGCAAGCATTTCACTGCCATCGACAAACACAGTGACAGCATTTTCACGGGTGGAAGAGACTGAAACAAAAGTTTCTCATAAGCATAAAAGCTAGGAAAACTCTTGCAGCCGTTCTCTGCCTGGTGCGGCTCCCTTTGCAGGCAAACCGAAGGCGGAGTGGAGGAGACGAGAGCCCCAGTCCCGGCGGTGGTCCCTGGTCCCCCTCCAGCTCCGAGGCGGCGCTGGTCCTTGCGGAGACGACAGCTCCCTCCGGCCCCGCAGCGGCCCGCATGTGCAGAACGCAGCGACCAACACCGCAGCACCAGGGTCCCGCGCCGCAGAGCCGGGGCACCGGCATTGCCAAAACCAGCCGCGGATTTGCATGTAGCAATTACTGCACAAAACACCACCCAGCACTTCTGAAAAGAAAATTGGAAGCATACATTTGCAGAAACTCACAAAGACAGACTTTGTCAAACCTAACAGGCACTGATAAGGGGAGAGCTTTTATAAGGGATACTAAGAGATGTATCAGACGAGAGCAAGGCTGAATACAAAACAGTATTAGTATAAAAAAGAACAAAGAAAAGGCCTGCTCCGCCTAAGAACTGGTAATACATTAAAAATTTAAAACCTGGCACGACAAATCTGGATACTCCCTGCAGAAGACAACTGATATTAATGAACAGGCCTGTGCATTCATTGTCTGGGATCCCAGAGGAAAAAAATAATGCTGGTTACACTGAATTTTTTACAGTGAAATTCTTCTCTGCACAAACAGCTCCTCTGCCAAATCACCAGATTATTCCTGGCAGTTTTAACCATCTAAAAACACTCACCTGCCCAAGCACCAGATTCACCTGAAGGTACCTCATTTCTCCATGCAATTCCTCAGCACAGGACTTCAGCAGAGCCCAGCTTCCCTCTTATTTATTCAAGAAAAAGTGCTCAGGCTTGGTTCAACCACCCCTCTCAGCCCCAGATAAAGCAGCTCCCGTAGGACAAAGAGGATTTTGGTTCCTGTAACGTTTGACCTGGCAGGGCTCAAGCAAGGCCGAAGGAAAAACAACATGGGGCTCCCTTGTTTGCACGGGCTCCGTCAGATCCTGGACAGAGGGCCCCGGAACAGCCAGCCTGGATTCGGGGTTTGGCATCACTTTTGTGGCCAGGAAACAATAACCAGAAAGTTGGGAAATGCCAAACAGTACACATACTTCTCTGCTAATGGACACCAGTACCAACAATTATCTAGGTTGTAATGAAGAGCGGTAGAAGCGCTCGGCGGCATTTTCACTCGGTTGGCAAGCGTGACGTGAAAGACTTCACGGGAA